CCTGGCTCTGCCCTCCCTGCCTGGACCCCCTGTGCTCACGGCCCCTCTCAGCCCCCCTCTCCAATTCTCTGCTCTGTCCTCGGACACTGAGCCCAGCCTCCAGCTTCTTCCTTGCAGCTGGGCGCTTCATGCCAGAACCTGACCCGGGTAACCCCCAGGAAGGCTGGATTCTTTGTTCCTGCTCCTACTGGTCACATCTCAACCCACAGCACGGGTGACCATACACCTTGGGGCTCAGAGTCACCTTTGATCACCCCCAACTCACCCCCACACCCCACCTGGGAGGTGCTGTGTCATGCTGAGCTAGTTCCCCTGCGCCCAGCTGCTTCCCTGCCCCATGTTTTGGCCGCCTGCCCTGGAGTGGCCCAGCCCAGCCCAGCCACTCTTCATTAAGGCCGAGGGGCAAAGACCGCCCAGCAGGGCGAAGAGGAGGTTGTGTGGACAAGCCGCTCCTGAGAGAAGGTGCCAGGCTGTGGTGGTGGGCCTGGAGGGTCCCAGCCTGGGATGGGGAGGGGGCTGCCCAAGGCTGAGGCGGCTCTAGGGAGATGGCTCTGGGAATGGTGGTTTCCTGGAAACTGAGCCCTGGCAGCCTCCCTGTGATTCAGGCTGGGCCTTTCTGAGTGTCAGCAGCCTCTGTCTGTCCCTTTCTGAGTGCTTATTACACAGCTGCAAGCCAGTTGGCTGCAGGTTCAGGCTGGGCCTTTCTGGACTTCAGCTCTAAGGCATTGTTTACCCATCTCTGAGCCCTCCCCTTCCCTCCCCCTCTGCCCTGGTCCCAGAGCCCCCTTCCCTCTCCTGGGCCTCAGGATCCCCCCTGCACTCGTCTGCCCTGCAGGATGCCACAGCTGAGCCTGTCCTGGCTGGGCCGGGGGCCCCTGGCAGCGTCCCCGTGGCTGCTGCTGCTGCTGGTTGGGGCCTCCTGGCTCCTGGCCCGCGTCCTGGCCTGGACCTACGCCTTCTATGACACCTGCCGCCGCCTCCAACGTTTCCCACAGCCTCCCAAAACAAACTGGTTTTGGGGTCACCTGGACTTGGTGAGTGTGGCAGCAGGACAGGTCTGGGGTGTCAGGGTGGGTGGACTTTCCCAGGACAGGAAGGGGCTCAGGGAGCCGGGAGTGGAGGTGGGCTGCGGTCTGGGACGGCAGAGAAGCGAGGGAGGCGGCTCACTCACTCCTCTGCTCACTGCCTCACTGCTCTGCTGTGCCGTCCCCAGCCTCTGTCCCCTCCTTGTCCTCCCACCCCAGCCTGCTCAGCACCCTTTTCCTGCCTGTCTTCCCACATTGGTGCACCGTGAGGGCTCCTGGGGAGGGCTGCACAGAGCAGGGACCCCTGGTGTTCCCAATCCTCCACCGCGGGACTTGAGGGGCAGTATCCATGGTTTGCTCCTTACCTGGCCCGTGTCCTGTGTCTGGCCCTCTCTGGGCTGTGACTCCCCCACTCCCCCAAACACACAGGGGCACAGCTGGGACACAGGACAGGTGGGGACAGTGTCCCACCCCTGCCCTTCCTGGGCACCCTCCTCTTACCCTGCTCTACCCCCACTAAGATGTCCCAATGGGCCCTGCTGTGCAACCTGCGTGAGAGTTGGCCGCTCACTTCCCCTCTCAGGAGCCTTTCCCAACCCCCTCTCCCCACACCTTGCCCTCTGACTTGGACCTGCTCTCCCCTGTGGGTGACGTGGCCTCA